AAGAATCAACATTTTACATGCCAAAGTAATAAATGTACTGTTTTAATGTTTATCCATCATTACTATTACTTTGTTTCATAGCAAAGTAGGCACTTTGAAGTTCTCGAAGATTGTTCTCTAATGTTGCAACCTCATCATATTTGCAATCGGCACGGGCCTGTTTAATGTACGCGCGAAGATTACTCATTTGTTCGATTATTGGATCCATAGATGAAGACATGATGGGTGTAATATGAGATGGACCCCAACCTTGAGATTGAGTCACCATTACTTGTGCCTAAAAATTTTAAAACTTATGATGAAACATGAGTTATCAGACAGCCATATCAATTCATAATTAATCAATAATTTGGCAATAAAATCTAAATCTTAAACTATTCAATCATTTTTTCAAAAAGAAATAAATATTTTGAAAAATCTTCACATTAATTAAAATAATATGTATGAAAAAAGCTAAGAGTTATAAAAAAAGAATAGATTGAATATTTGACTTTCTTTGACTTTGATATTAAATGTGATTATACTTTGAAAAATTCCCTTCCTTAATCATCTGCTCTAATTTGTTAATATACCTGACTGATTTTCAAAGATGGACTATTGTCCAAATTCCATATATCTTTCTTGCGTTGCTCCTTTGGTTTCTCTCGTTGTTCCTTTGGTTTCTCTCGTTCTTCCTCCAACTGCCACTCGTATGCTATTCGGGCTTCTATTCTTTTCTGGCGTTCTTCTTGTAAAATTGCATATTCCTCTACTGAGGGCAAGGGTTGCAAAGTTAATAACTCTTCTTTCAAAAATATCATTGCTGATGTTCTAACCATCTGGTATAATCTCAATTCTTGTCCCAATGCCTCCTGCGAATCTGTTGCATCTTTCTTCACGCCAAGGACTAGAATTCTTTTGCTGGTGGCATCTATGTTTTCCCCCAATTTTGCCAATTTGACTCGTAATGATTGTGCATCCTCTAAACTATATGTAGTCTCGCCTTCTCTAAAATAGTTTTAAGAGCATTCTAATATAAGTTCTTTCTATACTAATTTTATAATTGATAATTTGCACACCAGGAAGTGGTGTATATATCGCTCTGTATATTATAATTTTTTTAATGCAGTATATTATATGGTACGAATAGATGACATTATCTTAAATATAATGGAAGTTCACATACTTTAGCGATTCCCACATTTTGTTATACATTGCTAAATGCTGCGACGCTTCGCTCATGTACTCCTTCATTTTCTCATAAAATTCACAAACAATTGATTTATCGAATTGCTTCGCTTTCTGCATTTCCCTTGCATCGAGCAAATTTATACAGTGAGTACAGACTCTAAAGTGCTGTTCGCTACTAGTTGAATCATTGACCAATGATAAAACGCTATTTAAACTACCATTGGAAGGTGATCGTGCTAATTTTGAGAGACCTATGCCTGCACGTGCTATTCTCTCGGGAAATGTTCGTTCTGATATAGGAAACAAAGTAGAATCATCCTGTATCGATACGGGACTAGTCATCTTTCCTATAAAAAAAATTAATTTTGTTAAACATAATTTTAAGAATATATACAAATTATTTCATAAATTAGAAATACTTTTCAGTAAAAGATACAAAAGGTACAATAAGCTGTTTTCCTTTTTAGAAGATACATTTGACATAAGCGTCGTTCTATTATACCACAAGAAGAATAAAACGACATTTGTGTTAACTGTTTCCTAAAAGGAAAGCAGGAAAGGACAGTAAATCATTACATCCATGTTTGTTAACGTTAAACAAAAATGAAATAATTTTCTTTACTCTATTATCCGTGACTGAAAAGCACTCGAAATAATATTAAATGTTTTACATACGTGCATCGATCAGAGACAAAAATACCGTACAATTATGGCACATGACTGCCCCACATAATCTACAATGATGTTTTCGCCTTGCTAAATGAAAACTCTTAGCACAATTAGGACACAATTTCACATCTTTTTCATCAATCCATGGAACAATAGAACGTTCATGAACTATAAAAATTTTTATTTACATTAAACATTAATTGTATATAAAATATAAGTAGATATCATGAGATATATCAGTGAATAAGTAATTTATGTATTTTTTCACCTTTTCTATCGACAGGATCCGATGGTAAATTATTTAATAATTTATCTAACCTTATAAGAAGTTTATTTGTTTCATATGCGTATCTTTCTAATCGAGCATTTCTTATATCCTTAAAATATCTTGTATGAGATGTAATTGCACCTGGAATAGTGAGTTTTAGAAATTAAATAAAATGTACATCACATAAAATTTAATTATGCATTTAGCGGCACACAGTATTTCTAAATATTGATTTTAGGAAATTAAAAATTTACATTTGATTATTTAGAAACTTTAATGAAAAAAATTATTTCTTCTTATCAAAGACAGCTTTGGCTCATTAGTATCGCTGCATTACCTATTTCTTGTGGTCCCCAATTAATTTCAGGACTCCGTCTCTTGTCTTGCTGTATTGCGCTTGGAAATGTTTCCGGTATATCATCCTGCTTCAAAATCTTTTTCTTGGCTTTGCCAAACAAATCTAGAATAAAATCCAATATATTTTGACATTTGTTCTGTATACATTTTATAAGCTTGACATTTGTTCTGTACACATTTTATAAGCTTAATAAACTGTAGTAGAATTCTATGAATTTTTTTTTGACGAATAAATTGCAAAAGAATCATGCATACCTTTCAGAGATTTTAAGATCTCCGGATCATCATTGTGAACTTCCTCGAAGTGCTTCGTTAAATGACTGGGTGCCTTAAAATCGGTCATGCAAATAGGGCATATAAATCCCTCCAGTACTACATCGTTATCCGCCATGAAGCCGAAATACTCTTACGACTTGCAATTTAGAGCATTTAGAGCACCTCGATCGCGTTCACCACGTTTGTTCTAATGTAAGCGTCTTTCCAGTGTTGCGAAAGAAAACGCGTCTTGCGCGAGCAGCCATATTGCGCGCGACAGCTGATAGAAATGTCAAACACGTTAACCTTGTGCAACCGTATCTTTATCGTTCTCAAGATATCGAACAATGATGCTTTTTACGCGGCATCTTTTTCTTTCGAGACAATATGTTTTACTGATACAGATTTTATCGTATACTACTATTTTATCGTTTACTACTAGCAATGTTCCTTATGATAAAGAAAAAGAAACTTGATTTCGATTTCCTATATCATTACTCCGTAAAGCATTTATACTAGCGATCGAAGATAAGTAATAATATATGAGAAATATCAATAACTTTATGAAAAAATATCGGGTTCTCTCTCAGAAAAGTGATGTGTTTTATTTAAATCGAAAATTATTGAAAATTAAAATGACAATGTCTCAAAATCAAAACAATTTCTAAAGGGACTTTAATTAAATCCCGTTAATATATTAACTAATTTCTCAAGTAATATCTATATTAATTTACAATTCGGAAGCTGATTTATAGAAAAAAAGTAAGATTTTTCTTAAAATTTTGAGATTATTAATTCCACCAACCTGGAAAAAACCTGTTTCATATATAATTATATATAATTATATAAAATTATATATAATTATATAAAAAATTGACATATTTTATATACAATTATATATAAATATATTGTATATAATATTTTTTCCTAGGAAAAAGAGATTAATTTTAATTTAACTTGTTTATAATCTTTTTCTAATTTTTAGATATATAAAGTATAAAGTAAATTGAATCGAAATTAATCTTACATACAGTAGTGGCTGAATATACTTTTAATTATTGGCGTAGAATTTCAATCAGAAGAGGGCAAAAATTAATCTTCACACAAAAATAAATAAAAATATTTATAAAAATATTTAAACCAATTTATATTAAATCTAGTCTTCAACGAACTTTCATACGAATAACGCTTGATCACTTTGATCAATGAGCATTTAATTTTTCGTCATAAAAATGATTTTCATTTTAATTATTTCTCCTTGCCAAAATTTTAGAGAGTGAACACTTGCTTTCTCTTTGCGTACGCTCGTGGCTTTTAACACTCCGGGAGTTGACACCAAAATTTATAACACAATTATTGATGTCCATTTTTAACAATGTAGATCAAGACATTAATTTCAGTTTAACTTACTCTTCATCTTTTTTTAATTTTTAAAATCAGAAAAAGATGAAAAGTTAGTTGTACCGAAATTAAAATTGAACTACATTAGTAAAAATAGATATGAATCTGTATAAGACACACTTAATTTACATTAATTAAAAAGCATTAATTAATTTTCAAATACCAAAAATAGCATAACTCATACAAAAAAGAATAATAAGTATATTTTAATAAGAATAATCTAAATAAGGAAAACTGAATTCATATTCTTTGACAAACAGAAGTATAATTGAATAGATCCAATAGACCCATTGTCAGGATCTTCCCGAGGATTAACAATAGATTCTTTAATATATACATATTAATATTTTAAAGCTTATAGAGAAAAAAAGTCGTAAGTAATATTTTTATTATTTATTTATCTTACATTCCAGAACATTTACATAAATTAGTACATGAATTAATAACACAGGCATAATAAAGATCTCACTAAATCTTTAAATAAATGTTAAAAAATGAAGCTATTATATGTGTAATTGATCTGTAATAGCATTGAATTCAGACTCAAACTTACAGGCCGTCCTTTGATGGTTCCTCCAAAATGCTTATCGCATATTACAAAAGTAAACACATCACTTTAACAAATAACGGCAGACATATAAAAATTATCTTAAATCGGTGTTTTATACATTGCTATTTATGTATCATGTTATATATGTATCATGCTATATATGTAGCCAGAACATATATACTTCTAATGTTATATATTCCGTTAAAAATATCTTACAGGATGAGCTCTACATTTATATTATTTCTATGTGAGAGATCAATTAAATTAATTATATAAAATCATGAAAAGTGTGCGCAAATAGATATTCCATTAAAGCAAATATGCCCAATGTATAGGATTACTTTATAATATCATGTGCAATATAAACTCATTGTTGTGTATATCACAAATTAAAAATAAAAACGTAAACAAAAACAAAAATTGTGCATTACAGCATGCTTGTGACTTATTATTGTTTAAGCACGATTTAAACAATTTTAAATCAAATATCTTCTCTAAAGTTGCAGTTGTTACGTTTCATATATATATACACATTACATTAATATATACATAATCATTTTGTGTCTTAATTACAGTAACAATTACCGACTTAATTGATGTACGTACCAATATGTATTTAATTTACAATGTATATTGTCAATATAATTGCTATTATTATTACTAATTTAGACTTGGTACTTCAATATATGTTATATACGTACCATGAGCATATTGAATCAAAATAGAATGATTTAGAATTGCCTAGACGCATGCAAATTTGCATAAAGCGTATATGTAGAGTGTGTAGTGAAAATTATATTTATATTATTTAACAATACAAATGTAAATTAAAAAAGATATTTTGTGTGATAAATTCAATACTTTTGATGTAAAGATTGTTATCAAATTTACGAAACGCATTGTCATAATTGCATTTTTTTATCTGGATTCAATGCTTATTTAATATATTAATAATGATAGTGGACGGAATGAAGAAATGCATACGCAAAAATGAAAGAAAAAAATAAGTACTTAACTTCCTAAATATACTAGAAACGAGATCTCTCAAATTGTATTCGTCAAATCGTCTAAACTTAAATAAAATTTTTTTAAATCTAAATTATAAAGTGTCCAGCTTTTTTAAATAAAATAAAATTTTTTTTAATCACAAGATCAACGTCAAATGATGTCAATGATAATATAAGTCCCAGTTTATAATAGATAGTAATAAACCTTTTTGTTCTAAGTTGTAAATCATAACGCTTTTTTACCCGACGCCTTTTAAGCCCTAAGCTTTAAATAGAGCTTAGAGCAAATTAACATCGTAACTCAGAGCTTAGAGCAAAATACTAAAGAGGTTACCTACTGTAGACCAGAGCTGAACGCCACGACTTGAAAATCAGAAAGAACGACAGTTCTTTTGAGTTTTTAAGGAAACAGAGAACTTGTAAAATCGTCACGCAGTGATAATAAATCTCTTGGAGCGTGTTAGAAAATTTATAAAACGAAATTCTGAGTCCATGTTATACGCGCTTGTACGCACATGGGAGCATGTGTCGTTTTACTCAACCTGGAATTTGATTAGTGATGGTATTAGATCCAACGGAAACCGATGGCGGGCTAGCAGGGTCCTGCATTAGCGTGTGCATTTCCTCCTCTTGGTCAGAAAGCGGTATGGCCGGCATGTCATGCGAGTTGGCTTGCTTTATCTTCAGCTGGCTTGGCACCTCTGTGAGTACTGGCCCGTACTGCGAAGTGGAACCCACCAGCAAGTCAGTCGATGGATTCAAACCGCCCAACATCTTTCCTCATAGCAACGCGTACATAAGATAAAGAAACAAATGTACCAGAACATACCAGAGAGCGGATGGCTTCCGGTAAAATAAAATTAGACGTAAAATATTGTATTCGGGTGGAAACCTGTACGCTTACCTGACCACTGCTACTTGTCATGCCATTCCTTGGTGATTTGCTATGATGGAAGAAAGTGAGCCATGTCCAAACAAAACCAAGCAATACACCGATCAGCATTATCCCGGCACCTAACGCCACAGAACTCTTTCCTATATTTTCATGTTGCTGTATATCTGGAATCGTCGTTGAATATTCTTCTGGCTTTATCTATAATTATTACATATACAATTTCATATCAGTTTATAAGTATCTTCAATAGAAATAAAATAAACTTAAGGTTTAATTATAGCAAACGTTTGATATTCCTTTTAATCTTCCTAGACAAATTTATGTACAAATTTATTATCACAAGGGAGATTTTTAAATGTTTCAGATGGAAAAATCTGAGAAAATAAAAGATCAAAACTTTACGACAAGTCTCATAGACAATAATTAGGATTTACCTCCAATGCAGCATCGTCACCCGTCTTTGAAGACTCTTCTGTGGAAACGAGGTTGACGAGCATGGTCGTGAGGCCGGCGATGAAGAAGCATAGTGCGACCGATAGCAGCGTCCACTCTAACCATTTCCTAGAATTGAGCTTGTGCCTGGATACGATGCGCCAGAAACCGTGCCTCAGCCCTGCGGCGCCGCCGCCGCCACCACCGCCGCTGCCATCGCCACCGCTGTCGTACGTGTAGCCGACGGTGGTCGGTTGATAGACGGCCTCGCTGTCCGGCATGTCCTCTTGCGAGATATACACGATTTTTTACTCTAGCCGCCGCCTCCTCTTGAACCAGAAAGATCGCTAATTCAAAGATAGAACGAGAGTCACGACGTCAGATCATTACCGACGGCACGACTTCGTTGCGTCGGGGATCGGAAATGTGCTCACCGCGTTCGCGACTCTCTTCTCTAAGAGAGAGAGAGCATCCACCTCTCTTATCGCGTGGTGCAACAACAGGACTCACCTGGACAACAATCACCACCTCGCTGGTGTGGCTGTGGCCGCGTGTCGTGTTAATGCGCGCAAATACTACGCGTGCGGCTACGAATGAAGGATTTCGCGTACGTGACACGCGCACACCGATATGGATGCGTGTGACTTGCGCAATACACACTCGAAGCTTGAAGTACTCCAATTGCTCAAACATCCCTTTAAAGTTTTAGGAATGCACATTATTCTTTTTTTCTCTTCTTATTCTCTTTTGATCTCTGTATTAATCTTCTCTAAGTTTTGTTTATTTATCGCACCTTTGTTTCTCTATTTTACAATTAGTGAATCGTTATGGAATAAATCATTCTCATTGTCGATATGAAATTGATAATCTAGATTTCGCGTGAGCGTTTTATCAAATCATACAGCATTGTTATCGATTAAGATTTATGCACGCAAAATTCACAAACTTCTAAGTCATATTAAAACAAATTTAAAGCATAAAAATCTGATATACACAGATAACTTGTGCATTTTTTTCTCAAATATTTATTATTTGTTATCTATCACTTACCATTATTTATTAATATTTTGAATGTTTTATATATATATATATATATACACAAAATTTAACATATAACATAAAAATTTATCTTTTCATAATAATTCTTCAGAAAATAATTATGCTTTAATTACTTAAAATAATGCTTCGTTATTACTATACAAATTAGTAAACAAAAATATTGCATTTTTTTAAATTGCTTATTTAAATTAAATTTTTTAACCAAATTTTCCTATTTAGACATTATTTTAGATAAGTAATTTCATAAATTAAAAAAGCTTTTTATATATCTGGCGTTCTATTTAATCAAACTTTATCAAAAAACTTTATTGAATGTATGTGTGATAGTTACAATATATTTTATACACTTGATATAAGTAAACATAATGTAATATTTTTATAATACACTTTGTTAAGATATAAATAAAATAATTGTACAATCATGCTACAATTAGCTTTAACTTACAGATATTACATAATGTCTACATACCCCTCTATCATATTCTTAATATCTTGTACAACCCTCAACTGTAGCCAATAAAAACTACACCTAAGTTTTCTAGTACCTTTTTTTACCTACAATTTAATATTGTATTGTATCGATCGACATGTACTCATCGACTAATTAAAAGGTTGCAACAGATTTTTTTCTATGGTTTTCGGAATACAGTCTGCTCATTGAACTATTGGTTTCTTATTTATGATCAGTAAGCAAAAACCAATCGCTCGGTGAGCAGGTTGCATTTCGAAAACCATTAGAAAAAAATATGTTGCAACGTTTTAATTTCGATATACATGTTGATTGATACAATATTAAATTTTAAGTAAAAAAAGATATTTGAAAACTTAGGTATACAGATGGTGAGTGTACAGATAACACAACCATCAAAGTTTTCGAGTTCAAATGATTCGATTCGATATAACAATAATCATTCGAAGGTTCACATTATAGAGATAGGCGATACAGCGTCAACATTTTAAATATCGATATATTTCGATATTAAAATATTATTGTATATATTTAAAATATTAGACACTTCTTGAAAACGTGCTCTTAATACTTTCTCTTCTAACGTACAATAAGAGACACGATCCTTTATTTTATGGTAATTGTTACAAACAAGAAAGGCAAAAAGTAATCGCGAAAAAAAACATGCGCACCGCAATTTCCGAGCTCCAGAATTTCCAGCACCTAAAATACTGAAATTTCTTATCCTAACTCCATCCAGCTTGATATGCCTGTAAATCATAAACATATACATTCCAACAGAAATGTATCGACATTTGAATAGGAATATCGAACTTTCGATGTAAAAGATCAATTTTTTGTGCATCGATACGCATTGGTGCGCTTAAAAATAGATCCATATCAATATCAGCAATGTCGCAAATTATCAATTCTACATTTTGATATATCAATATTTCTATTTACAATATATTGCGATATGAAAAATCAACATTTTTTTCTGTATCACCCATCCTTATTCAATTAATTTTTCATTACTTAAATTTCTGACGCTAACTCTCAGTCTCGGAATAGTTAGAATTATTTTCAATACTTATCGTACATGGAATATATTCCTGTCCGGACTCCTGAAGAAAAATAAAGATGGATTATAGTAATGAAGACAAAATTAATCAATCTGCTATTTAAATTCGTAAAAAATTATCACAAATTGTTCGTATATGACATACCGAATTTACAATAATTTGTCTACCTCCTTCCAAGTTTAATTCATCCATTTCTTCCGTTGTTAGGATTATGACGGAATCCTGAGGTATACTATCCTCGTCTATATAAGTTATAGGTATTTCTGATGCAACCTATGCATATCACAAATCCATTAGCAATGAAATTATATTGAAGGGACTTGATAATTCAAGTGTATTACCTCGCAATAACTGAAATTGGACGTGTCTTGTATTTTCACCTGAGAGTCATGCAGTACTGGTGTATCAGTTAGTCGTTCCTTTTTCACATTCGATGATTTTTCCGCTTTTTTTCCATCTTGTTGAAGCCTTCGCCATATCGTAGTTTTTGGAATGTGATACATCACAGACGCTGCAGCCTGCGACATTCTGCCACCTTTGCAAGCTGCTACAGCCTCTTCTAATCGCGACTTCTTTGATTCCTCATTCTCAGGTTTGCGCTTCTTCCAAAACGATAATGGTAATTTACCTTGATTTACTAGCCGTGCCTTTTCTCTAAACAATGTAGTCTTTGGTATCTAAAAATTATTGATCATAGGTTACATAGGTTACATTCAATTAACAATCTGTTAAATCTATTTATGACAAAATAAATTCAAGAATAATAAGCAAAATTGCAATAATAAAATTTACTTTAAACTCCAGAGCAACTTTTGTCAAATTTTCTCCTCTTTCTAAAGCTTTAACAGCGGCTTCTTTCGTGTCTAAAGCATACGATCTTTTCATTTGACGACGTAAAATCTGATAGCCTTCCTTTTGTATACGTCTCCATAATACAGTTTTAGGTATTCTAAATATTTCTGATGCATGCTGCAAGCTCGAACCATCTACAATAAAGTTAGCATAATTAGTCTAAATATAATTATTAAATAATACAGATTTAATAATAACAGACATATATTGCATATTAGAATAATCTAATGTAAAATACACAGAATTACATTCTAAAGGAAGGATAAACCAAGTATAAGAAAAATACTAACTGATCACGGCGTTTATAGCTGCATTCATGCATTCTGCAGGATATCCATTTCTTGATGCATTTAAATGTATGCCTAATGCTTTTGCCCGCATATACAACGTTGAACGTGGTATATTGTGCTTAGTAGCAGCTTCTATTAAAGTTTGTCCTAATTTCAAATCATTAATCGCAGACGCTAACATATCATCACTATATTCTCTCTTTACAGTGTCACGGCGTCGTTTCTTCTTTTTATTTGAAATACAATTTTCAGCAGTGCTTGGTTCATGAATTTCATTCTCCAAAGGTTCAGCATTGTCCTGAATTTCCTCTACTCTTGACACAGTTTCTTCCATTGCTTGATCTTTTTTTCCTTTAACAATTTCATTTTCATACACTCCATCTATCTGTTGAAAATATAAAACATGATTATAAATTCCAAATTGTTAAATATAAAATTCTATAAAAAATTAAATAAAACTTGATAAATTGTAATAAAAAACTAATTAAAAACTAATTAAGTAACTAATTAATTTGACTAACGTTAATAAGACCATTTATTTTTAATGATCTTGCAGCTTCAAGTAAGCTACTGATATTTTCAACAGGAACACAAATTTCTCCATGATATATGAATTCGATAATCGACTTTATATCCTGAGGAGATATATCACTTAGAATAATTGTTGGATAATCTTCTGTCACTTGACTTAGCACTTCCTATGAATTACATATTAATCCCATAATTATTGTGATATAAATGATTATACATATTATACAATGATTATTAATAAATTTGTCAATAATATACTTTATATTATGTAAATTATACAGTTATTTTAAATATAAACATTACAAAGACATTAAATCATTATTATATTACATTTTATATATAAACATTAAAACATCATTATATTACATTTCTCTCAAATATAATATAATTCTCATATAAAATAATAACAATAACATAAGAAACAAATTTTCAAGAGAAAATTGTTTCAGCAAAGACAGTAGTTATTATTGCTATTACTAAGCACAATATATATACAATTATATTTTCAGTCACTTAATTGCAAGATTTTCTGAGCTTTATGGAATTATTTTGTATATATGACAAAAGACTTGTTCTTTTTAGCTGAACTTTTTCATCAGTTCATCTTTCTTCCTTTTTTCTTCAAGAGAAAAGAAGAGGAAAAAGAAAGATGCATTGGTGCAAAAGTTCAGTCAAAAAGAACAGGCTTAAAAATGTCGTTGAAAGAAATTATTTACTTGAAACAAAATACTACACGCGCATAATACAATGCGATGCGCATGAATACGTTGACCATCTGCGGATAGAGTGACATCCACCATGCAATCCTCCTCCAAGAGTTGCCGCACGACATTAGACAGATGATTTTGATAATTGTTCCATTTAAAACGGTAACTCTGATTGACTTTACATTGGCTAGTATCAGTCATGCTGTTGCCGTTTTATCTTTTTTCCACTGTTTTTTTTTCAAGATGGACAATTGGAACAAATGAATTTCAGAAATACAGGACGTTAATCTTTTTTATAGCAAATCATACACATACATCGATATCGAGTGTCATTAGTTACGAACAGAAGGTATCACACCATTGACCAGTTACACTACGCACATTGCGGACATTAGCAGCTTTGCAGTTATAAAGCGGCGTCTACAATGAAATTTTAAAGGTGCCTTTTCATGCTGACGCTCGACTTGACTCGCTTGACACTCATTTTATTTATATCCAAACAAGTTACGTGATAAAAATTATCAATTATGTTCACGTGATCTGTTTTTTTAATATTTTGCTAAAAATTAGCGTCGAGCGTCAGCATGAAAAAAGCACCTTTATGCATGAAATGGAATGCCTCATGTTCCTTCCAGAAGCGTGTTCAAATTCCTATCTGATGCTCCTCAGGTATCGTGTCATCTTTGTTTAATATATGATAAACGACAA